AGATTTAGACTCAGATTTAGACTCAGATTTAGACTCAGATTTAGACTCAGATTTAGACTCAGATTTAGACTCAGATTTAGACTCAGATTTAGACTCAGATTTAGACTCAGATTTAGATTTAGATTTAGATTTAGATTTAAGTTTAGCAGAGGCGAGGAACAGGCCCCAGGTCTCACACAGATTCCATTTATTCAGACCTACACTTATATCACGCATACAAGAATTCTCACAGGATTCAGGTAACAAGGAAATTTGACACAAAGTCTCTCAGCACAACGCTACGAGTGCAACCTTTCCTTTTCAATGCAATAAAGCAAATTCTATGAAAAAAGGAACAAATGTCTCCTCACCCTCGATGCAGCACCAAGCGCAGTTACCTCGTGATTGGGTGCAATCACGGCTAATCAACGAAATCGGAAGGGGTTGCTCGGGCTTCAACCGTCCGCAAGCCCTCTTCTAATGTTTGTCCTTGCTAGTTCTAAGTGTCCCTCCCAGCTACAACCGACAAGGAACAGAATCTGGGTCACACCAGAGCCACCACGGACCCAGCTAAGATGGCTTCCAATTGCCCCAAATCCATCGTATTGTGCGCCATTTCCAGTTCTCTTTCTTAGTTCAGTGGTTCTACTCGGTTGGAGCCGAGGGCCTAAGTGCCGGTTGGAGCTGGGCTTAGGTGGATCTGGTGTGACCCAGATTCTGTTCCTTGTCGGTTGTAGCTGGGAGGGACACTTAGAACTAGCAAGGACAAACATTAGAAGAGGGCTTGCGGACGGTTGAAGCCCGAGCAACCCCTTCCGATTTCGTTGATTAGCCGTGATTGCACCCAATCACGAGGTAACTGCGCTTGGTGCTGCATCGAGGGTGAGGAGACATTTGTTCCTTTTTTCATAGAATTTGCTTTATTGCATTGAAAAGGAAAGGTTGCACTCGTAGCGTTGTGCTGAGAGACTTTGTGTCAAATTTCCTTGTTACCTGAATCCTGTGAGAATTCTTGTATGCGTGATATAAGTGTAGGTCTGAATAAATGGAATCTGTGTGAGACCTGGGGCCTGTTCCTCGCCTCTGCTAAACTTAAATCTAAATCTAAATCTAAATCTAAATCTGAGTCTAAATCTGAGTCTAAATCTGAGTCTAAATCTGAGTCTAAATCTGAGTCTAAATCTGAGTCTAAATCTGAGTCTAAATCTGAGAGATTTAGACTCAGATTTAGATTTAGATTTAGATTTGAATTAGGTTTGGCTCAGACTTACGAGGAAGCGTGGTTGTCGTTTCGTCACGTGCAACCGTAGCATAGTAATTGACGTTTTTCTACGGTTATAAAAATAGGAATATCTGTGATCTCTAGCATCTCAACTTATTCATAATAGTTAAATACGTGGGATTAACCCTTCGGTCGACACTCAGCAGAGAATCGTAGGAATCGAAATGCAGTGGCGGCGCTGATCCGAAAGGGTGTATTGATGCGTTGAATTGGTATGCCGAACAACCTTTTTGATTCCCTTTTGATGTCTGAATTACAACCGCTTCTGAACCTTTCCTCCCAGAAATTGTGAAATAAGTTAGAAGCTCATAGTGAGAGATTTAGGGTGGGTTGTTGAACTCACTTTTAGCGCTAAAAGGCCTTTTAGGTTCATTGCCAGCATAGGACTAAAAGCCCGTTAGCAGCTAAAAGGGAGTACAAGAACCCACCCTATGTCTTTATTGTGTGGATTCTTGCAGTAGAAGCCAGGAACTTTTTTCCATATATGACCGAAGACCCCTTCATACTGTCATGACTAGGGACGGGAGAGGTAAACGAGTTGAAGTATTGGGTTATCTTAAGTTGTAGCTTTTAAGTACATTTAGAGCATCTCATTTAAACGATAGACTTTATTGGTTATATATCACAGCTAACATTCCCTACCGTTCATAGGTACTGATTTTGGACTTGCATGTGCAGACGATATACTTGCGACTAGAGCCAGGTCGGTCGATCCTCCATGGAGCCAGTAGATCATTGATTTTACTGCTGAATATCCCCAAATATTGACGTTGAATGCACTTTCCTTTCGCCTTCACGTATTAGTCGGCACTTTAGACTGGTTCAGAGCAGACTAAAAGTATTCCACCTTTCAGGCAAAGTTTCAGCTTCAGTCTCAATGTTAGCCAGGGCGAGGAGCATAATCTTTTACCTTTAGACTGCTTTTAGATTTAGATCAAGTTTAGCAAAAGCGAGAAACGGACCTCTGTGACCACTTTTTACAAGGCATTCAGGTCCATTTAGATTTAGATTTAGATTTAGATTTAGATTTAGATTTAGATTTAAGTTTAGCAGAGGCGAGGAACAGGCCCCTGGTTTGCATAGGAATCCTTGCCCCTGGTAAACTGGTTCCGTATCGACCATTACGAACCTTCCCAAGGGAATAGATCCCATTCTGTTGTGACGTAAAGGCAGTTTGCCGGTAACTTCTCAAGTCCATCATCTTGTTTTAGTACTACCGGCCACGCCAGACGAGATATCGTCACATACGTCAAAGAGTAAGCCCGTACTTCTGTAGCAGAAATCTCGATGAAGCATACCCAGGAAACAATTTGGAACCCATAACGTTGAATCACCATTGAATAAATGTTCGGAACGTTGATACAACGTTGGTCCAGCGTAGCCTTGTTTGCTAGGTCTCTTGTAAACATTTTGCTTTATTCTGGTACTGTTAGACCATCCTTTCAAGAAAAAAATGAAAATGAATTAAAACAAAGGCGATCTAGACGTGAGCCCACACAATTGCAAGAGTCAGAGGGATTTCCCTTAGAAAATTCAAAGATTGACTATGATGTACAGCGCAATTCATCAAGTGAGCTGGATTTTCTCTTCGTCGGAAAACCTCAAGAAGAAGAAGAAGGCTCAAGAAATTTTCCTAGAGAAATTATTGTTTCCGGTCATAGGATGATTGCTCCTTGAATGAATCTTCCACGCCGCCAGACAACAAGGTTTCCGATTACAATACCAAGTGGAGTCCGTGCTAATTGACGTAACCATTCCCTCTGTTCATTGTTTTTCTTCTTATATTTCCGCTGTTTCCGTCGCAAGAAATGACTAACGAGTAAGCCGAAAATTTTTTTTTCTCAAAAGAGAATTGTTTTTCCCCCGAGTATTGGACGTACCCTTCGTCAAGTGTAGGAAAATGTGTATAAAAAATGCGCCTCATACACAAGTGAATACGGAAATTATAATGGTAATGCAATGTTTGTTTAGCCAATCTAATTGAAGCTGACCATTCTGTTCTGCAGTGCAGTCAATAAAAAATATGGAATATACATGTTACATAGTAAGGGTACATATAAAATCTAAAGGAAAGACATATTTCACATCTTTATCAATGTTACCTTTTAAATTGTTTATTGAGTTTTTCAGATATTCATATCATTACACTGTTTTGAACATGCTAATTTTTTAATGAATCACTATCAACTTTGAATCATCATTAAAAAGTAAATTTGATTTACACCTGCAAAAAAAATCAAATATATATCTGAAAATTTCCTCTTTCAGGCAGGGAAAGCAGAAGGAATGAAGGTGTCGGAACTCAGTAAAGGAGTGAAGATACCTGTTATATTCTGACTCCAAATATTGTTGATAATAAAGCTGCTGCTAAAACATTAATAGTCTATCTCTTAAAAAGATATGATGATGGCTGTGAGAATGCATAATTATTCACAATTTTAGCGTGAGCATTAAAAGATATCATGTATGCTAAAGGAATGCTTAATTTGATCAGTTTTTGTGCATTACAAATCTCAGCCATCTCTGAGGAAATTGCTAACAAAATATATTTGTTTTGTTGTGGCTTTGTTAATAAACTTTGCGTGTGTGATGTAGAATGTCATATTATATTTTAATAGCAATTGTTGCGTATGGGGAATTTAATTTCTTAACAAGCGACGAGGATTGTTGAGTCGAGGGTTCGGCACGGCAAACTCAGCAAGTAAACCCCGTGGTGACTTAAAAAAAAAGGTTTTACTAATTAATGATCCCGATAGGCCGATCACAATTCACACACACAATACACCTCACAAGGAAAAGAGTAGAGAACACCAAAGGGATAAAAACCTATGGTTAGATCCCTATATAAGTAGTGTCCCTCGCTTCCTCTGCTCGGTCTCAGCCCACCCAGCACTGTCTCCGCTGCCTTCCAGGACCCTTCTCGCTCTGCTCTCCTCCTCCCCATTTGTTGGGTCTTCGCTTGGGGATGTTTTGGTTCGCAGGAATGATGGATCCGCGTGTATCCCATTCTGCATCAAGCAGACCCAGACCCCATGGAATATTCCAGGGTCTTGGGTCCTGTTGCAGGGGTGCAGGATCGCCTTGGGCCTGTTGCAATAACGTCCTTACATCACACAATTTTCCCTACTCAAAAGAGTAATATGATGGAAAAGCACTGTGTTCAAAGTAAGGAAGGATCGCTTGTGTTGCAAGGGCCGTGACGGAGTAACTGATTGTGCAGGGCTCTACTTTGTGTCCGCGTGTGGGTGCCAGCTTCAGCCCAGCCTCCTATGAGACGTAGGCCCGGTGATTCCGATCGCGCTATCCTATTGGCATGACGCCTTACAACTATTCCTCGAAAGTAGCGACCGGGAGCCGCAGGAACATATTCACGCTCATTTTCAGGTTCATTTTGCTTTCCCCATTTCCCGATGCTGTTGTCGTGATTCCATTGTTCCAACTTTCGGATCGTCGTGCAGATGGAAGGGGAGTGTGTACAAGCAGCTCGGAGTGAACATGATGATCTGGGTGCTCCTCTACTATCTCCTCAGCTGCATCTATCGGTTTGTGCTTCTGCCGGATCAGAGGATGTGAGTCGTTTCTGATGTTCGTGAGTCAACGTGTGGTTTTTAGTAAAGAAAATAAGCGGAAATGGGTGGGGATGGCATTCCCACAAGCTTTCACAGATGGAGCGGGAACACTGCTCCTTTACTTTTCGCGGTCGCATTAAAAAGTCAAGACTGCCAATTCGATTAAATGAGTCGACCGAATTAGGCTTTTTTAAATATTTATAAAACTCCCTCAAGTTCCGTCTGAATGCCTGCTTTTCTCTTAGTTTCACTGCATAGTCTTACAAAAGAAATTTGAATGTTTCAATTTGAAATCCGATTAAATGAAAACTTGTCGCAGGCAATCGTTTAAACACACTAGCAAAAAGAAAATGCGGTCTTTAATTTTTAAAAGAGACACGAGAACAAGGGCAACGCTATTAGGATCATGTAAAAAAGCGAGGGCCTCGAGAGGAGATGGAAAGAAAATGCATTGCGAGCTTCAAGTTAATTCCTAGCAATTACCGCCCAGCTGCAATAATAGCGTGAAATCCGGTGACCTGAATGGATGGATCTTTAGCGTTGAACATGATGGAGTGAAAAGTAGGGGTTTTTCCCTACTTTTGACTCCATCATGTTCAACGCATCTCGATCTTGGAGAAAAGCTCGTCCTGTCTGGTTTCCTTCGATATCCAGACAGCATGAACCATGAAAAATAAAACCTAAAATGCATGAAGCGTCGGCGTTGTATTTTCCTTCCGCATTGGAATTTTCCGTTCGTTTGGATCCAAGAATTCATTTCCTCTCCTGCCCGTTTCTTCTCGCTTGCAAGCCGTTGCTCGTCATGCTTAGGCTTGATCCATATCCGTGCCATACAACATGCTGGATGCCGTAACTGCATCGTGTACTGGAAAAATCCTGTCCAGCTACTGGGTCGCAATCTTGAAATGCATGAAGAAAATTGCCGTAGAAAAGCTGAATACAGCATGTCATCCAGCAAAAGTCTGTACTGTAAATAGAAACATTCATGTAAATTGAAACCATTCCTTTTACTGAGATTGCAGTGGACATTCAATCATGCAGATGCAATGCTGCATATGCTGGAAGCCATGAGCAGTTTTGCTGTCTGTCAAAGGACTGTTGTTGCCGAGCATCCAGAGTAGCCTTTATATTTCAAGACGCCATTTATTGAAGACCATAAATCAGATTAATCTTGCGATCACGGCTGAACTGGTTATGCAGGATCCAATTTGAGCGAACGTGCTTTAGTTTTTAATATTGGACTGTTCTTCGCTTATTCCTGACACTTCTTGTGAAGCGGTTTCCTTTTCTCTTCACTTGCCGGTTATACTCAAACAGGAAAAATAAAAAATAAAAAAAGAAAACCTAGCGAATCATCTGATTTTCTACATCTGTAAAAAATGCCCTTCAGTAAAAAAAAAAAAAAAAACAAACAAAACAAAACAAAATCGTTTCAGCCCGCTCCGATCCAGTCCGTTTCACAACGAAATCTCCTTACAAACTGTGATATTTGATTTCATCAAAGAATACGCCCAGCTTCGATTCGTGATAGCGCGCGGTCACTCTACTGTGAAGACGAGGCTGCGTTTTACAAGCTATTGCACTCGGAAACCAAGGGGAAACTGTGGTCTCCAAACTCATTTTCCAAGTTTTTAGTGTGACAGAACCGACAGGCAGTTGATAGTGGCACTAATGCCAAATGCAATTACAATATCATGATCAATGATCATGGCGACTCCTTGTCAAAGGGGAAAGGAAAGGAAGAAAGCGAAAAGAAGAGGGAATGAAAGACTATGGAAAGTCCGGCGATACGAGAATGAAACAAGATTCCTCCCGCGTCCTCCCGCAGGAGTGCGCGGCATTCAGTGGCTTTTTTCTTTCCTCTCTTATGAGGCGATGGATTTTATACCGAGCGAATACCAGACAGCACGGACTTTCCCCTCTAGCACGTCTCCCTCATCTCTAATGCCAATGATCCTTCTATTCGGATTGACCCAATTCCTTCCGCGTTCTGGGAACGTGCAGGACGGCATGTGACCACAGAGTTAAATATCGTTCGCTCGTAACCCAAGTAGCCAAGGGTGATCTAAAAGTTATCCATGGGCAGTCCAGTTGTCCAGAGATGGTCCAGAGTCCAGAGGGGGTCGTCCTTTGGATCTACATTGAATGCCATCACCATGGATCGATGTCTTTTCATGCATTCTGAGCTTTATTCAAGCAGAATTTCCTTACATCGAACTGTCAATTATTTCCTTTTTATCGAACGAAGGTTTTATGGAATGGCGTTATGAGCATCCGATAGTGGGATTTATTTTGTTCGTCTTTTTTCCTTCTAATCTTCTTAGGACGCAACCCAGTAACTTCAATCAATATATACTTAGTGTAACATTATAATTGGTCCAGTGCATGATTTCATTTAGATTTCGACATTACGAACGAAACGATGCGTCAGTCCTTCTTTGGGCATCCATTGGACGTCCAGCAGAGGAACTTCCAAGGACAACTTCTTATGGTCTTCCATTTGATGTCCTTGGATGGAATCCCCGTCCCGTTGAGGCCATCCATCTGGCCTGACATGTAGCACTTCATTCAAGAAATATAAAGTTCCCGTAATAAAAGTGAGGCCGCGGTCATCCCGCCGCTATCATCTAAATTTATGTCTCCCAATTCCCTAAATGCTAACGAATTGTTCTGTGAAAGCTTTAATCTTCTACTCGATAATTTCCCACGTACAAGCCTAAGGAAGGAAGTCATTCTAATTATTTCATTTGTTGAGAGACGTAACATAGCTCAAGGAGAATCCCGGCAATTCTTGCACATTGCATGGTGAGAATGTGGTTACCCTTGTCAAGTAAGTCTGTTCCTTCCATGTATGAACTACGTCGCCTTTGGCGATTAGAAAAACAATTGCTTGATTGAGAGATAAGGATGAGACAGGTCGAGAGATTCTATTTTCCATCCGAGCACGTCTCTCCTAGTTCCTCTAAGGAACGTGAGAGGGCGATAATGTCAATATGCAGAAATGGTTCTTTCCAACAACATGAATATTCATGAGCATGCAAATTTTGCTCCATTGACACCTGAGGATTACTATCGCTGCACACCTCAATGGTCATCCAAAAGTTTTCCCAAAGGGAATCTCCAATGGATCCAAAGAAACGGACATCCAATAGGTCATCCAATGGACATATCAAAGGATTATTCTTGGACGAGACATTTAGTCATCCAGGGGATATCCGAGGAGGATATACTGTACTTTGGATGTCCAAGTGCCCATGAGGGATTTGTCCGATGTCCAATGGATTTATTTTGGGACAAAATGGCTACTTGGGAACATACTTGGGTGGGAAGATGGAAGCTCGATTAAAATTCAATTAATGTCAATTTATTCAATTTATTTAAAATTTATGTTACATTCAACTTATGTCACAATAAATCCTTTAATTTTTAAAAATCTATTAGTAGCCCTGAGGAAATAATTTTCTAATCCACCTCCTGTAATAAATGGCACCAAGCTGCTCGAAGTACAGGGTGAACCACACCATAATTAAAAAAAAACTCAATAAAATTAAACCTTTTATGAAAAAAAAATCGTGCTGGAATGTACATGAATGATGAAAGTTTGTTTCACGCATTTTCAAAGGTCACTAGAACTTAAGGTGCTTCCACTTGGGTGCCACCAATTGGAATGCACTTATTCCATTTCTGCACTGAGGCCTCAATAGATTTCTGCAGCATTTCATATACATTTTTCATTTCACACGGCACCAATTACAACTTTGATTTTGTACTCTAGCTGCGCGAGATAATACACGAGCTGTAGGTCTCTGTTTTGACATGATTCCCCCCCCCCCCCAAAAAAAAAAAAATCCATCAGTGTCAATATCCGGTGATCGAGCAGCCTACTCCATCGGGCCTCCCATTTCCTTTCCAAGTTTTTATTCTGAAGAGGATCTTAAAATTCATGCAGTTACTTATGGTTCACCTTTTATACCTTTTGCAACTTGCTTTTAGATGGTTTGCAGGTCATTTTCGTCGCATTTCCCGTTGATTTTTAGAATGGAAAGTAAATATAGGAGCAGCGTATTGAAAAATTCGCGCTGTAGACGAATTTTCGGCATGCAGGAGATGATGTTCGGCCGACTTTCCGAAAGGCATAATCAATTTCGGCTTCCCCTTTCTACATTTCGGTACGAGGGATCCTGTGTAAGTTTCCGGACTTTTCAATTTAAAATAAACTTAGATTTTTTCATATTGTTTCCTGAAAGTGTGTTTATTTAACACTTTTCAACATAACCGCCGCCAATATCAATGCACTTTTGAAGGCACCGGAACCAACTTTGAAGACAGTGTTGAAAATCGTCTTTTTTGAGTTGTTTCAGCTGATTCTTCACCGCCTCAATCAGTTCTTCTTGGGTTCCACAGACTTTTCTTCGCAAATTTTCCTTCACTTTTGGAAACAGCCAAAAGTCGCAATGCGCCAAATCCGGTGAGTAAGGTGGCGGCTCAATCAGCTGCATCCCAGAGGCGCCAATGAAGAGCAGGGTGTTGGTCGCCCGGTGCGCCGGTGCATTGTCATGATGCAGGAAGCGCTTGCCCAGCTCAGACTTGGGGCGACCTCTCAGCAATTTTTTAAAAACGACCGGCAGGCACGTTTCCGTATACCATTTCGAAGTCACTGTTTTGCCTTCCTCAAGCGGTACAGCCTCCACGAGGCGATCAGAAGTGAAGAAAACAGCAAACATCACCTTGCCGAAGGACTTGGCTCGGATGGCCTTGAGTGGCGGCGCCGCCCCTTTTTTTTGACCAAACCAGCTGATGCAGCTGATTGAGCCGCCACCTTACTCACTGGATTTGGCGCCTTGCGACTTTTGGCTGTTTCCAAAAGAGAAGGAACATTTGCGAGGAAAAGTCTTTGGAACCCGAGAAGAACTGATTGGGGCGGTGGAGCTGAAACAGCTCAAAAAAGACGATTTTCAACACTGTTTTCAAAGTTGGCTCCAGCGCCTTCAAAAGTGCATTGATATTGGCGGTGGTTATGCTGAAAAGTGTTAAATAAACACACTTTCAGGGAACAATATGAAAAAAAAGTTTATTTTAAATTGAAAAGTCCGGTAACTTATGCAGGACCCCTCGTATTCCTCCTCGTATTTCGTTTGCAGAAGGCAGAAAATGGAAGAGCGGTGGCAAAAAATTCGAGTTGGAGATAGAGTTTCCCAACATTCAATGAGAAAAGTCACAGAAGCTACCTCTTCAGTCGGATCACTACCGCAATAATGGAAGACGGGCTAAATGATAAGAACTCGCTGCTTATCTTCAGAAATCTTACAACTGGCGCGAATGATGGGCCAATCGTTGTCAGCGGGGTATTTCGCTGTCAAGGAGCTTCAGACATTCTGCAATCCCCCTTCATAAGGATTGCAATTCATTTTGGCACATTTTCCCCTTCGTTTCTCAATGGAAGGGGAATAACGCTGCGAATTCGGATATCGGCGTTCAAGAAGAATTTTCGGCACGCAGAAAATGATGCTCGGCAGGCTTTGCCCATGGGTGGATATTTTCGTCACCTTATATCGGAAATTCAACATTCCTCCCTATATTTCGTTATTTGGAAGACACAAAAAGGACAATCGACGATTGAAATTCATCGAGGAAATTGGGTTTCGACACAAATGACGATATTCGGCACTCAGGCGCGCTTTTCAGCCGGATCGAACAACAAAAATGACCCACCGATGAAATCACTAGCATATTTCAACTTGTCAACATGTGTTAAGAGTTGCTTTCACATCAGGAATGGGTAATTTAAAAGGTTTAAAGTCGGAGTGACATTCAAAATTAGGGAGAAGTTTTTTCATAGTTTTATGTATTGCGGGTGGAACATATGGCCTATCTCACAGCCCTTTGGGTTCTGACCAGTTAGGAAATGAAAATCCATTCGTTTTCCCCTCATAAGAACGTCAAATGGCAATCTCCTCGAAATGTCTCAAATTTGCATTTGCGATCCGCTCTACCGAGGAAAATTCTTAGTGAAGCGCACTCTATTCACTCGCCGTTGCTTCGACTTCATTTCTGCTCGTCGATAGCGAATTCAATCGGGAAACATGTCCGAAAATGCATTCCAGATTCCGCTTCGGATCTTGAGATTCCAGTTGCCGTATTCCACATTCGGTTTCACGTCGAGCAGTAACAGAGGATGATTTCCTTCGGAACGTTGAAAATGACATTTCATTGCCGAAACTACGTGTCTCCTAATACGACCTTTTCCTCACGGACGATAACAGATATCGTTTTGCCGGAAATGGGGTCGCTTTTCATCGATATTTCTGCAGACGTTCTTCAACTACGGAAAGCCGAAGATGAAATACGTAACTCTTACTCGCGGATTCCAATTGACATGCTCGCAGAATTTTTTCACCGTAAACTCGATTATAGGCTGAATTTTTCTGCGTTTCTTGCAGTTCTATTGGTTTTCCCTGCTCGAATAATCAAATAGCCCTTCCCATTCCCCTCGAATGAATACCACATGCTTATCAACGGGAGGAATTTCAAACTTCCACCTACGATCCATTCTAGAGCTGAGAATGCTCTTTGCAGTGATTGCTTCTTTCATTCCCGATTCCCAATTGCTTCGACCACATTACTGGCTTCCATTATTGGGATTTTGAAGGAAACTAAGTCTTCAACGAACTTGAAACATTGCGGACGATCTCGAGATTCTATTCGCCGTATTTCATTTACAGTTTTGCTTCCAAAGGAAACGCCGAAAATGAAATTTTGTCGCCGAAACCGTGGGCCTGTTCCTTGCCTGTGCTAAACTTAAATCTACAGTAAATCTAAATCTAAATCTAAATCTAAAAGCAGTCTAAAAGCGGTCTAAAGCAAAAAGTCTATACTTCGCCCTGACCCTTTAGACTAAGATTTAGCCTAAGATTTAGATTTAGATTTTGATTTAAGTATAGCACAGGCGAGGAACGGGCCCCGTATGTCTCCGAATGCGATCCAGTTCTCATGGATGAAAGCCGATTCTGATTTGCCGAAACTGCTATCACATTTCACACATATTTCCAACGACATTCGTCACTCACCGAATGCCGAAAATGAATTGCAAACCATCTAAAAGCAAGTTGCAAAAGGTATTTATATAGTTACGGTATAAGCAAAAAAACTGTTGAAAGATTCAGGAAGGAAAGTCCTCGCATCGCTCCTTCATTTTACCGTCACTATACTTCTACTGGTCGATTTTCGTCGCTGGTTATTTAATATTAACAAACAGTTGATTACCACAGAAAACTGGAACATGAAAAATGGAACCGGAGTAAAGCCAGTTGCAAGTCAATTCGGTGTTAAGTTGCACATTCTCTGTCTTTATTCACTGACAATCCGATTTACACAGCCATGCTTTCGCACCTTATGCCGAATGAGATTCTAAGGAGGTCTTCACGTTGGTGTGAATCTTCGTAGGATGTTCGGAAAGGTGGTGGTGTATTGCCGAGATTTCAGCAATCACATCCCTCTGACATTCATCCTGGGCTTTTACGTCACTACCGTCCTCAATCGATGGTGGGGACTCT